TATAGGTATTTATACATTATAACAGAACACAGTGAATGATATACCCTGTAGAGCATAATCCTGAAATCCAGACTTCTCTTTGAAAACTTCTCTTTAAAATAACTTCCTTTTTTGAGCTAAAAAGGTTAACTTACTTAAAAACAAAAGCAAATACCATCTCATGGCAATTATTGTTCCCTTATGAGAATGATTAATGTCTTACATACTTATTACCAGGCAGTTTATGGAAACTATGTTGTCAAATAGATCATATTTTCCTACAGAAACAATATCAGAATAGGGCTCATATCCCTTACCAAAGACTCAACAGAGAAACTATAATTATGAAAGTTAACTGGCCATAAAAGCAAAGATAAGACTATTATAAAATTTTATAATATAAAGTGACAGAAGGATACTTCAACTTTTTAATTTGTTTAACAACATTTAACAGTTATCTGTATGTGTCAGGCATTGGTAATCAAATAATACCTGGTACCTGCCACACTCAATAAATTAACTAACAGTCAAGATTTACTAAACAAGTATATCAATGTTTACTGTATGGGGTGGTCAGTGTCATGAATGAGAGATGTTCAGAGTCTGTGAGGACACAGAAGACAGTCATCTAAATCAGCATCGAGGGGTCAGGAAACACTTCCTGGAAAAGATGACCTGGGATCAGCTTTGCTACATGAGTAAGAACTGGCTGAATTAGAAAGACAATCCAAGTGACAGGAATATGGTCATATTCTGCATAACAACATTTTGATCAACAACAGATGCATACATGATAGTGGTCCCACAGGATTATAGTAGAGTCAAAAAGCTCCTATTGCCTAGTGACTTCATCGCCATAATAACGTTGTAGTGCAATGCCTGTGGGTTTTGGTGACGCTGATGTAAACAAACCTCTTATGCTGACTTTTTATTGATGTTTTAGACTACTCCTACTTATTAAAAAAAAAAAAAAAAGATAACTGTAAAACAGTCTCCAGAAGGTCTTTCAGGAGGTATTCCAGAAGAAGGCATTGTTATCACAGGAGATGAAAATTCCCATGCATGATATTGCTCCTGAAGACCTTTCAGTGGGACAAGATATGAACATGGAAGGCAGTGATAAAGATAACCCTGACCCTGTGTAGGTCTAGGCTAATGGGTGTATTCGTGTCTTAATTTTAGTAGAGAACTTTAAACAGTAAAAAAATAATAATAATTAAAAATTTTAAAAAGAAATAAAGCTGCCAGGACCGGTGGCTCACACCTCTAATCCCAGCACTTTGGGAGGCCAAGGTGGGTGGATCATGAGGTCAAGAGATCGAGGCCATCCTGGCCAAGATGGTGAAACCCTGTCTCTACTAAAAATACAAAAAATTAGCTGGGCATAGTGGCGCATGCCTGTAATCCTAGCTATGCAGATGGCTGAGGCAGAAGAATCACTGGGGCCCAGGAGGCAGAGGTTGCAGTGAGCTGAGATCATGCCACTGCACTCCAGTCTGGTGACAGAGCAAGACTTTGTGTCAAAAAAAAAGAAAAGAAATAAAGCTTATAGAATAAGGATATAAAGAAAGAAAATATTTTTGTGCAGCTGTACAATGTATTTGTGGTAATCTAAGTATTACTGCAAGAGACAAAAAGTTTTAAAAAATTTAAGTTTATAAAGTAAGCTAAGTCTAACTTATTACAGAAGAATGAAAAATATTTTTAAATAAATTTAGGGTAGCCTAAGTGTACATTGTTTATAAAGTCTACAGTGACAATCAGTAATGTCCTAGGCATTCACCACTCACTGGCTCACCCAAAGCAACTTACAGTCCTGCAACTTCCATTCATTGTATGTGCCCTACACAGGCATATCATTTTTAAATTTGTATACCGTATTTTTACTGTGCCTTTTCTATATTTAGATATACAAATACTTACTGCTATGTTATATTAATAATTGCCTGCAGCATTCAGTATAGTAACACGCTGCACAGGTTTGTAGCCTAGGAACAACAGGCTATACCATATGGCCTAGGTGTGTTATAGACTATACCATCTAAGTTTGTGTAAGCATACTCTATGATGTTCACACAATGACAAAATACCATATGGATGCATTTCTCAAATATGTCCACATTGTTAAGTAAGGTATAACTGTAGCTAGTAACACATGCACAGAGGTATAAAGCAACATGGAACATTCAAGAAACTGCAAGTTCCTGTTTGGAGGGATATTTGAGGCAGGAGCAGTCACAGGAAATGAGGTGCAAGATAATGATAGAAGCCAAATCATGAAATGTTTTAGAAGGTAGGTTTAAAAGTTTGAATTTTATTGAAAAAGACAGTCCCCCTGATCCTCTAACAGCTACTAAAAATGATTTTAAGCAGAGAAGTAAAATGAGTATATTTTCATTTCTAAAAGATCCATTTGATTTTACTATGGAGGAAGGCTAATGTAATAATCCTAAATGCATGAAGCAATGTTAGGAATAGAGTAGAAAGAGCAGATCTGAGAGACACAAGGAGAAAAAATTCATTGAACCTGACTGATGAAATAACTTGTACACCAAACCCCTATATGACATCATATGTACCCTCAACCTAAAATAAAAATTTTAGAAAAGTTTTTAAAAGTTCATTGAACTTAGACATTAATTGGAAGCAACAGTGGAATGAAAGGAAGAGTCTAAATTGACTTGGTGACGAAGCTGATGATCAAGAACAAGGACAGAGTGGGTCTGAGTTGGTAAGAAGCAAGGAAAAACAACAAATATCTTTCAAACTATCTTGTGCATTATGTTTTCTACATATTGTCTGAAGAATATCTATAAAATATAAATTATATATAACATATATAACAAAGTCTAGCCATTATGGAAAACAGTGTGGAGGTTCCTAAAGAAATGAGAAATTGAACTACCATAAGAGCTAGCAATTCCTCTTCCGGGTATAGCACTGAAGTAAAGGAAATCACCACTTCAGAAAGATATGTGCACTCCCATATTCACTGTCCCATTATTTACAATAGTCAAGACATGAAAACAACCTAAGCGTCCATCAACAGATGAACAGATAAAGAAATTTGTCTATACATACAACATAAAAAAGGAGATCCTGTCATTTGTCACAATTGTAGGAGTTCAGTCAGGGTGGTGGCAAAAGTATTAAGGAAAGAATATTAAAGTTATATAGTCACAAACCTTCTTGAAAGGCCAAGAAATCTGCATAGTTTCAGTAGAAGTTTCAGCTGAATGCAGCCTTATCCCCTTTACCTTTAGTTATTAACAAAAGCAAATAGCTAGGAAATGTGGGGGAATTTATGTGAATAACGTGTTTACACATGTGGTCCGATAAACTAACCTTTGATATTTCAGATGGCTCTCTCAGGGGGAGGTTGACTAAGGATATTACCCACTAATGGTATTTGCTTTAGGCCTCAGAGCCTGTCCTTTAATCTTTAACCTCTAGTGGTGTTGACTCAGACTTTTGTCTTTAATGTGTGCTGAATAAAGGCCAGTGAGGCCAGCGGGTCAGGGCCGGCAGCTGCTATCTCTTTACAGCACTCTTCTCGAGTGTCTGTTAGTGGCCCAGACACCCCAGCCCACTCATTCACTGTATTCTGTGTTTCAGTGTACATTATTCATCCATTGCTGAGTCAGGGTCTGCAGGACAGACCCACAAACATGGATGAAACTGGAGGACATCATGCTAAGTAAAATAAGCTAGACCTAGAAAGAAAACTATTGCGTATCACTTACATGTAGAATCTTTGTTTAAGAAAGTCACATAGACAGAGATAGAGAATAACACAGTATCTACCAGGGGCTGGGGGCAGGAGTGAGGAAGTGGGCCAATTCAGATCAAAGGATACAAAGTTGCAGTTATGAAGAATGAACAACTCTAGAGATCTAACATACAACACCAAGAGGACAGTTAATAATGTTGTATTCAGGAGTTTTACTAAATGAGTGGATTTAGATGCTCTTCCTACACACACACGAAAATGGGTAACTGTGAGATGATGACTATGTCAATTTACTTTATTATAGTAACCATTTTACTATTTATGTGTATTTCATAACATCATGTTGTATACCTTAAATTTACACAATAAAATTTATTTAGAAAATAAATTTATGTAAATATAAAAATTTTTAAGTATATAACAAATAATCCCCTATCATACATTTGACATAAAGTTTACTGTGACTAGTATATTCATTTTAATTATTTAATTAGCAAAGACTTCTTGATTTTCTTAAAGTTATGTTGGGGGTTGATGGAGAAAAATATTTAAAAATCCCAAGTCTCTTTTACAAAGCTGAACAAGAAAATTTAACTTTCCTTTTCCTCCCAAAATAGATAGTGGCAGAAAGCTGATATATACGAAATCATTCTACTAACCAAAAAATATTCAGCAATTATTTTAAAACTATCCTACATATGAGATTTATATTCATTAGAAAATTGCTGTATTATCATACATAAAGATCTCAAAAAGATTAGATATATGCTTTTATTATGTAATATTAACAAAGCAGCAACTTGGCTCATGCATAGTTTATGCAAAGCATTTTTTAAAAAGTTTAGGAAATGTAAACCTCCAGAAAATTGCAAAGTTAAAAATGTACTTCTGTGGTGGTCAGGTCTGAAACTTCTGTTTCCCAACTGTTTACAAGGAACTTCATAATTTATTTATGTATAGACAAATCTTCAGCTTCATTAGTCATTTCTCACTATATTCTATGACCAAAAAAGGGTACTCTTCTCTTTGTTTTTTATGGAAAAGCTATGGCAAGGCGGGGGAGGAAGAGGAATTGCCTGGGGGTACCAAACGACTAAAAAGAAGAGCCCACAGTGGGACCGAGCCTTGGAGCTGTCTAATGAGTCTCTCTGCCTCCCACAGCTAGCTCCTCACAGCTCTGCAAAAGATTGAAAAACAGGAGCCAACAAAAACAACACACTCACAAATCTAATTTGGTGACTAACACCCTAAAGATATGCAGTTTACTCCTGATCAGGACTAGAGTACTCACTTTCTTTGCGAACTTCCTCAAGTGAAGCAGTAAGCTCATCCTTTAGAACTGTCGCTTCCTGGGCAATCTTCTCTCCCTTGTCTAATAAATTCCAAGTTGCTTCCTCCACAGAAGCTAGAAGAACACTGGCTCTTTTCGAACGTCCTTTTTTCCTGTTGGAAGGGTTCTGGGGACAGTTTACAAGTGTGGTAACCTAAAATTGAAAACATACAAAGTACTCAATTGACAAATTGTAAGGGAGAACACAGTCCTGGAATATTACAGCCCAGAACGAAAGGAAATATAGTTGACTCTTGAGCATCTCAAGGGTTAGGGGCGCCAACCCATTGTGCAGTTGAAAATCTGAGTATAACTTTCAACTCCTCAAAAACATAACTACTAATAGCCTACCATTGACCAGAAGCCTGATAACATAGTCAATTAACACAGATCTTTTATCTACATGTACTATATAACTATACTCTTACAATAAGATAAGCTAGAGACAAGATAGTATTATTTAAACAATCATAAGGAAGAGAAAACATAATTACAATTCAATAAGTAGAAGTGGATCATCATAAAGGTCTTCATCCTCATCATATTCATATTCCTGAGGAAGAGGAAGAAGAGGAGGGGTTGGTCTTGCTGCCTCAGCGGTGTAAGAGGCAGAAAAGATGGAGGAGGTGGAAGGGAAAGCAGGAGAGGCAGGCACACTTGGTGTAACTTTTATTGAAAAAAAATTCAAATAAAAGTGGACCTGCACAGTTCAAACCAGTGTTGTTCAAAAGTCAACTGTATTTCATAGTAACATGACTCATTTCCAGTGCTGTTGGCAAATCTGCAAAAGTCAAGTCATGGCACCAAGAACAGCGCATTGGCCACCATGGAGCTCTCAACCAAAGACAGGAAAGAAGTGAGAGCCATTGCGATTGAATTTCAAAATATACACATTAAAATGTCCCTCTCTTCAACTATCCCACTCATCAGATCATTTCCGTGTTAAATATTTACTGAACACCTACTTTCTACATTGTTCTGGATGATGGAAAAATAATGCATTTCATGCTTTTATGGAGTTTACATTCTTAGTATTGGCAGCATACAATAAACATATAAACAAATAAAAAATGTAAGGCTTAGTAAATGTTTTGAGGAAAAACAAAGTTGGGGGAGAGAACAGAGTGAGCCAGGGTGGGAATGAGTGGTGGTCAGGAAAGGCCCCTCAACAGGGGACTGACTGGGACCAGTCTGAGAGGCCAAATGAGTTAGGGGAAAGTGTAGGAGACAGATCTGAGAGGTTACAAAAGGCAAGAAAGTAGGTCATAGTAAGGATTTGGCCTTTGCCCTCTGAGGCAACCACTGTTTTATATGATTCAGAATGTTTCTCCCTCTCCTAATATTAGTTATCTCTATTCTCAGCCTAAATAAACTAATACTGACTTCATTATAATTATTTTTGGCTCCCTCTTAATGTAGATTGCTGGCTAAAAAGTGGTATAAATTTTATTTTACAATTATTTGATATTTTAGAGATAAATTTCTACTTCTCTCATTTTTGACTGTTTTATCAGAGTTCTATATTTTTTATATGAAGTTTCTGTAATTAAAACAATGCACATATATACACAGGCTTCTAGAGCATTCTTCCAGTAGTAAAACTTGAACAAACTCCTCAACACAAGGATATGAAGTGATAAATGTATTAATTAGCTTGATTTAATCATTTTACAATGTATACATATATCAAAACATCACAGGGTATACCATAAATATATGCAAATTTTATTTGCCAATTTTAACTTAATAAAGCTTGGGAAAAAACAAAAACAAAAAAAGAAAGAAACAAATCTTAAATACAATAACAAACTCATAATAAGAACATTACTTAAAAATAAAAATTATGCTTCTGTATTTGGAAACAAAAACATCATACTGAATTATACTATTAAAAAAAACCACCCATTTCTTAATTAAATCTTGGATCACAATTACAAGTTTTGGATTAAATTTTTATAAACAAAGCTTTAAAATCACCATCGTAGAGGAATGGGAGAAAGGAAAAAAACAACTCGTATCTAATATTTAAAATAGAAGACCTGAAACTCCTATTGAAAGCTAAGCTGCTGCAAGTCATGAAACAGTGGAGGCTCATAATAATCATGCACCACATCTTTGACAGCAAACTACATAACACTTCCTGCTTAGTAGCCTCCAGAGATTTTGCTTGTTGGTTGTTTATGGAGCATTTGATGTTTGTTTACTTGGATATCTGTACCCAGTTTTCATCAACAAACTAAAAACAGACTTAATAAGTCATGTGGGAAATATGTAGATGAAAACCATTTTTGTCTGCCCTCCTACCCTCCTCCCCTTATTCAACAGATCCTCTGTTTCATTCTAATTTGCTTTATTTCCATGTTCATCACCCAGAGTGGAAGGTCTTGTGGTAGGCCTTTGTTTCCTCTCTTAGAAAATAAGAACAATCACTATTATCCTACAAGACTGGGGAAGGTCAAATGAGGTAAAGTATTTTGTAAACTGCGTAATATGACACAAATATTTGTTGGCATTTCATGTATATTTTCTAGTTTGTTCCCCACATGGATTCAGAAAATTGGTTATGGGAATCCTTAACAAAGGTATTCTATCTGGACCTAAGCTTATCTTGCTCTTGGGGCTCCCCATGTTAAACGTGATAAAGGCAGTTAACAAAGCACATTCTATATGCTTTACAAGGAGCTAAATAGATCATGTGTCTTCATCATGGATTATAGAAGAAGAATAATAAACCTGATTTACTACATGGGTTTTCACGAATTCCAAAAGGCAAATATCTCACTCTTCTCAGTCTAATTTATATATTGAGAGTTAAAAGATATTTGTCTAGATTAAGACAAATTATAACACCTAGTTTAAAACCTTTGTTTAAAATGAAGAATAAGTATCATTGTCTGAAATCTTCCCTCAGAATGTATTTTAAGTGCCGCAATTCATGATGCTTCCCACTGCACATTCCTCCTCTATTGTTCAGATCCTCCATGCGCCAAATGTTTTCCATAGAATAGCCTAGGCTTTGAAATTAAAATGAGCATTCCAGAAATGCTTTGTTCCTTATAATAAGTGCCAGAGAAGTAAGAAATGTGAAAAGAACATTGTATAAGAACACTGTGCTTCCATCAAAAAAGGCAATTGCAACTTGCAAGTTATTCACTTTTTTAAGTTGTTTGTACCTACATCTTCTTTTAAAATACTACAATGCAGTTATTTGATATTGATTAAACTAAAGTCAAGTGATGTTTTCAATCATTCCTTTTATTTCAGAAAGTAAACATGGCTTGACAATTCTTTGGAAAAAAAGGAAAGCTGAAAGTATATTCTTTAAACCCAACTCACCTAAGAGAAGTAACTTATTTCTATCAGTGACTGTGACTCACCATAGCAGATGATTCTCACCAGGGGGGAGGATGGGAGGGTGCATATGCTTCTTGAAAAGGTCTCCCACCTCTTGAAGGAATACCAGCGACCAGTAAAATTAGCTTTCAAGTTATCCTGTAAAATAAATCCTGTGTCCTCATTTTCTTTTTCAGTACTAAATCAGTTATATTTCTGTAAGTAACATAAAAACTTTAGTTGGAACTTGCAATGAAGATGATTCTAATGTACGGTCCAAGCCCTTGTCTTGCTAACTTTACCTTTTGTCACTGATACACAACCCTCTCATTCCCCTCTTTCTCAGATTTTAGGGATCCCTCTCATATAGGAAATCTACAAGCTTGCAGCATTAGAGAGCTTGGGTTTGCTATTTTCGTTAGTCTGTAAATCTGTGCTAAGCTACGAAGACACACCTTCATCATAGTTACAGGAAGGAGCTTCCATTGAAATGGTGCTAAATTAAAGGTTTCAGCTAATGTATAAAGAAGAAATTCCCACTCCATTAATTCTACAAGTTTAACATTCCACAAAACCAGATATATTTTAAATGGTGTGTAAAAATATTTATATATTAAAATTAAGGGAAAAAATGGTTTTTATAGATTTTCCTAATTCAGGTGTGCTTCTCTAGATGCTCTAAAGATGCTGAAAATTAAATTGATATGCTTTTAATCTAGCCATCAACTGTCATTATATAGAGCCACACTGGCATACGATAGGGACTCTGTAGAACATGTTGTGACTTACTTTCATTTGTTGTATCGGTGCAACAATTGCTTTAGCATCTCAGATGCTAGCTTTGTGAAATGTCTTTTTTAATGCCAACGCTTGGGTAACACAATTATATTCTATAACCTTGTTCCTTCCCAACATAGTTCCAATTTTTTAAAATTCTACTCTCATTGTAGAATAAAAAAGCCATGTTAACAGCCATCTCTTTTCTTATTTATTAGCTAAACCACTCTGAATTTTAACCTTCCTCCAATAGCTCACAGGAGCCTTCAGGGATACTTTTGCTCCCTTGAGTTAATTTTAATGTATGAAATAAAGTATAAGACATTTAAGCTATGTTAATTAGCTGAAACTTCAACAGGGTTCTGAAAGAAAGTAGAAGGGTAGAAAAATAAAACTGCCTATAGATAAGTAAAAACAGTGATCTTTCAAAGTAAAAACTGTGAGTCTCAGCAAGGAGAGGGGGTGTCCCTTCTTCAATTCACTGATAATTTCAACTATTTTTTTACTTCTACCAAAAACAACCCGGCTGAATTAACAAAAGTACACAGGAAGATTAAAGGGTTGAGAACCCAAAAAAATTCATACCTCTAGATAACATTCAACAGCCCCCCAAACCAACTTCCATTTTCTTTTAATTCCTTTCAAGCCAATAAACACTTATCATGCACATATTTTGTTCAAAATAATACTCTAGGTATTCAGGAAATAAATACGAATAAGCTCCAATATGGCAATAAGAGAAATACACAACTAGTTACAACATAAAAGGCAGAATAATAACTATTTACCCTTATATAAGTACAAAGAAAGTGCTGCCAAAAATGCAAACATTCACAAGGATTAAGTAGGGCTTCCAAGAAGAGCCTTTAAGAACAGATAATCTTCGACCAGAAGAGACAGAAGGGAGGTACATAAGCCAGGGGAAGAAAACTGTGTGCAAAGGGAAAGAGGCAAAAATTTATTTTGTCTAAAAGTAGCAGATAGTCAAACTTGGCAAACCATGGGGTAAAAACAGGAAATGGGGTGAGACGGCTAAGAAATAGA